GCGCCCGTCGCCCTTCCTGCCAGCCTCCTCTCTCTTCTCCCTCTCGTCCCACAGACTGCTTTGGCCCCTCTGGTCCTGGCAGCTCTTCTCCCCTCTTCTCTCCGAAGGCCTCTGGTGCCTCCGCTCATCCTCTTCTCGTGGCGTCCTGCTCCCAGGCTTCCTCTCGGAGCCCTTCCAGGGCTGCTGGCTCCCACTGGCACAGCGCTCGTAGGCAGGGTCCTCCTTCTCCTTCTTAATCTTGATCCGGGGGTGCGCCTCCTCTGCCAACACCGCCCGCTTGGCAGCCCGCGAGCTCTGCTTGTGCCGCTCTGCTCTGCTTCTCTCTGGATCTGAAACACAACAGTCATCTTCCAGGATGGACAGTCTGGCATCAGCTCCCCAAGCCCTGCCTGGCACCCCACCACCTTTCCAACTCCCCCTCCACCCAAGCTTCACAGCCTGTTCCCCTGCTCCGAGAGATCCTACCCCACTTCTAACCCCAAGACCTTCCTGCTCCAGCCTGAGCCACCCTACTTCCTCCTTTAACACTGGCCACATCAAGCCCTTCTCAGCGAGGCTGCCCTCAGGCGCTGCCACACAGCTGGAGCACCAAGCGCTTCCCTTTCATTCTCTTTTCTAACATCCAGGCAGGAAGAACATCATCAATCACTCAGGGGAAATTGTCTTCTCCAGACCCAAAGACTCTTTTTCCTCTTCGCACTCCTTCACCTCTCTCATTTCTGTGCATCTCCTGGAACACCATCTTGTCCCAGCTCTTAGTTTTGTCGCCCATTTTCTTTCCTCCAACCCTTCTCTCAAACTGGGACTCCAGCCTGACCGACAGGCCCCTCCGCCCCACACTAAGGGCCCATCCATCCCGCACCCTCCTCCACGCAACTTGGTGCTGAGCTCCTCTCTCGCCCGCGGGCAGGAGCGCAGCAGACAGGTCCCAAACCCCAACAGCACGAGGGCTCAGCTGCAGCTACACGATGCCCCAAACGCCCGCTGCTAATGCCCGTGTGCCGCAGGCAGAGCCCGGCTGGGGGAGGAACGGCTCCTCTGCACACCGCGCCGCGAGCTCCAAGCCAAATTCCGAACGATGGACACCCCAAGGACACCGCACCTAACCGGCTCATCCCGAGAGCCACAACCCATCCTGGATGGGTGCCACCTGGAATCGTCAGCAAGTCACAGTAAGCAGCTCCTCCTGCCAGACTCTGCTTCTAACACTCCGCGGACTCTGACAAAGGTAACTTTTTAGGATCTCTGCTGCACAGGTGGAAAAAACCCCACGGGCTTCTCAAAAACCCATCAGTACAGCTGCCCAGGCAGGTCCTTTACATGGCACATCCATTCGAGTTCCATTTGGATGTACTCTACGTTCTTCTGCTTTCTTCGGAAAGATACAGAGCCGAATCCCGCAGCATTGCCCGAGAACAGGAGGTACTCGCACCCTCGGACGGTTTCACTTATGCTGAGGTTTTAGGTCTACTTTCATGGAATAGTTGGGGTTGGAAAGGACCTTTACAGGTCATCTAGCCCAATCCTCCCTGCTTTCTTTGGCTTCAGTTTCCAGCCACAGATCCTCATCCGGATCTGCTGGTTTTGTGTTCTATTCAACTCAGTTATCTTGCGTAGGCCACAGAACAGTCATTCCGTACACCTGCAGCGCTCCAGTCCCACAACAGCAGCATCCACGTTTTGAGATCAGGTAGTGCTTTTCCGAAACCTTCCCCCTCCCCATCCCGCACAGCACTGCTCACCCCTGCAGTAACCCTGCAGCCTGGCAGGCTTTTTTCCAGGAAAAGTGCTATTATTGTCTGGAAGACACAGCTCTCCAGAGGCTGGGGGAGGGCAGTCACAGATAAGGGCACTCAGATACCCCTCAGGAGACCACGAAGTAAAGCCTGGACATCAGGGATGTGGCTCTTTCCAAGAGTTCCCCCGAGCAAAGGACCCTTGCGAAGCCAAGGGCTCTGTGCAGACGCTCCCACCCAGGGGAAAGACTGGCACGAACACACCTCACCTTTTTGCTTTTTTAAGGGCACATCATCATCTTCCGACAGGGAATCGGATGACGTGTGAGGGGGCGTTTTAACTCCGCAACCCTTTGCGTGCAGGGCTTTTGTGACGTCATCCAAGTCATCGGAGTCTTTGGGGGGCCGATAGTTGGCCACGTGGTCCACGCGAATCGTCCTTGCTTTGATCTGCGAGGGGAGCCGTGCTGTCAGCCAAGGCACAG